CAAGTTAATTTCTTCTGTTTTCATCATTCTTGAACAGAAACTTAAGAAAACAAAAACAGTTATAAATACGTTTTTTGTGATAAATGAATTAGATTATTACTCTAATATTTTATTTTATTTTTTCTTTTTATTTGGGGGGAGGTGGGTGGAATATAATATTAAAAATAATTCAATATAAACTTGACAAAGGAAAAAACAAGACTAACATAAGTTATCAACATTTGTTGGTTTTAAAAAATAATGTATGAAAACTTGACAAAGTGTAGCTAATATTGTATAAATATAAATTTGCCTCTACATGTTTGAGTCATATATTTTGTCTTTTGCGCACCTGCTTGATGATGTTTACTTCAAGTCATGCAAGTATAAGACATTATTAATTAGATTGTAACATGCTTATGCATACAAGAACATGTATTTAATAATTTAAATATAGTCCATAGACATATGACACTAACAACAATGCAAATAATGTAGAGTTTATAAACATAGGTAATTTCAATATCTACATTTCATCACAGTTCCTATTGAAGGCATTATTGAGATAACATATAACCTTTTATGCTTATATCTAACCTACAAAAATCACACAGGTCAAAATAAAACAAGTATTACACACGTGTTTAACTTTTATGCTTATCTCTTACTCTATTGTTTATATGAGAATATTAAATAATTTAATGATAATCTTAATACCCTTTATGCTTATCTCAAACCTCAATGCAACAACCACGTGCTTAGTTTACCCATATATAACTTATTTTATTGATTAGAGTTTATAATTTATTAATTACGGGAAAATACTCACTATTTCTTCCTCTAATTATATAAATTACGGGAAAATACTCACTATTTATTCCTTTAATTATATAAAATACGGGAAAATACTCACTATTTGTTCCTCTAATTAGCTTTGTCCACATTTCTTTTATTTTTCGGTTACTCTCTTATTAAATACTATACAAATATGTACTGAAAAATTATCAGTTCTACTTTCTCATTGTTTTCTCTGTTTCAGTTCAACCAACAAAAATATACTTTT